CCAGCGGGAGTGGAAGTGGAAGCTTATGCAGTGTGACAAGAGGTACAGACGGGTGAGGTAATGTTGAGTTGAGAAGCTCAAAGTAAGGTAAACGGTGTGAGAAGAGTCAATACTTGATTGACTGTCGTCACGACACTCCCATCACTGCTCTATCCGGCCGCGTCTCGTGGAGACTGTCCGGAGAACGCCCCCAAGTGTTTGACCTGCGTTTCGTTACATTTCCTTGCATTCCGTTCATCTTCTAGTGATCCAACACTTTTCGGGGTCCATTTAGTGTACAGTACAAAGCCAGCCGGCCAATGGCACCCATGAGTTTCAACCCTACAGACCGAGAACATATCCTCCTGTCACCGCTGGTTTACCATCTGGGGCTGGTGTTGCTGTCGGCGCTGGCTCAGGAGAAGGAGGAGGTAATGGATCATCCATAGCCAATTTGATCCTCCAATTGATAAACTCATCCGAGATGATTTCTCCGTGTCCAGCTTCCTCGATCCTGAAGACTTCTATTTCAGGGGATCTCTCCTTTCTCCGGATTCGCCAGACGCCATCTCCCCTGATCGTCGCTCTCAGAACTATCCCACGTTAGCATTAGAATGAAGCTTCACGTGGGATCCATCTAATCTTGTCCGATCCCAGCAACCCGGGAAGATGCAACTTACAACTAAGCAACTCAGAAGCAAAATTAATACACATGTTCCCATCCCACGTTCCCTTGCCTCTTCTCTTCACCGTACTCGGTATCGACGCGGTATCCATCTCCTCGACTCTCTTGAGGAAACCATCCTGTGTCCGGAAGCCCACAATAATCTTAGGCACACCGAGGAGGAAAGATTGGATCCAGAATTTCATGAGTTTGCGCTCGAGATTCATGAGATCGCCATCGTGTCGGATGTCGGCTGAGGTTTTGAGTTCTACCCATTTGATAGGTCCGCCATCTGCGGGCTTGGAATCCCATACTAAGTGGCACCAGTCAGTGTGAGTTGACAGTGTTGGATGTGTAGTGAATGCTGGGAAGCGGTGTTCGTACATGCATCAACCTCACCGCCAAGCACCATCACCGTACTGCCAATTCCGGTCTTGACAACAGAGCAGTACTGAGCGTGGTTATTCACAATCACATTCTCCCTGTTCTCGATGTAATCTCTCGGCGTCTCATCCCATGGCTTTGGCAGCAAACACAACGTCTCGAATTTGTATCCTTCGCACGTCAGTAGGTCACAAACAGAATCTCATTTGCCTCCTCACCCCAAAAACTCATCATATCCTGTGACGGTCTACCTGGTTGTGAAAACTGTCTTGATTGTCTGGCTTGTGATTGGCGTTTATACTCGTGGTTCTCTTCGATGAAGCTGCGTAGTTTAGTAGGGAATCGAAGGTAGACGGAAGTTTGAAGCATACATTGTACCCTTCACAGATACTTGTTAGCTGGAAATATTCACGGGGAGAGTGAGTATAGGAGTGCCCACTTGGAAGAGCGTGGCATTCATCTCGAAGCTTCAGATAGGTCAGCCATAAATATCCATCGAATGAGAGACACTAATTACCCATCTCTATCACTAAAGATAGCTCCCATAAACTAGACAAAATCAGCTTTCATAATCTCCAAAATTGATCTCTGAAGAGACGTACCTTGGTCATCATACCTCTCCACGTAATCAAATCCGTCTCAATACGTTTGCCCGTCTCCTGCTCCAGAGCCATGATAGTCTTCAGCAGACTATCCAGATGATCGTCGGCGGCATCGTCTAGCTTTTCAAAGGTATCGAAGCCTCTTGATAGGTCTGCTCCGATGGTTGGAGGGTAGTAGTACCTGATGGACGAATCATCTAGACGGAACTGGTGCTTGTCGTCGTATGAGAAACAAGCTATTTCCTAGAAAGCTGTCAGTAGATATTCACACGTATTCCGGGAGCTCTGGTTAGGCGATGAAGTCACCCTCGAATTTGAATCAAAATACATAGCGTATGGCGCAAGAAGAAACTACCCGGCTTTCAAGTCTAATGCATGAAAATGAAACAGAAGATATGAGCGATAACCCCTCGAATCTCAAACAGAAGACGAATTGTAAACATACCTTCGGACGTTTGATAGCAGCGCTCTGCCCCACGAACCGGCCAATAGGCTGGATATCCAATTTATTACTCATGATTGATAAAGAACTTGCAGTAGACCATGATGAACGCGCCGATGTTGCAGCTCTTTTAAGAATCGCCGTCATGCGGAGGAGGAAGAGGAATGTTTGATTGCAGCTTGAGGCTTCAGCTTGCGCGCTACAGGGGGCGTTTTGCTTTCAGCGCACTCTCATGCACCCCACAATGCCCTAGCGAAGCTGGCTTTGGACAATGACTTTTTGAATGCTGACTTTGGTAGCTTGTCACAAGTTCATAGATTTACTGTAAACTGTGATTCTATAGAAATATAAGCTTTCCACACTTTTCACCCATTTTTATATGAAGATATTAGAAGCTTTGTTCTGCATTTCACATGTATAAATGCTCGAAATCGGTACTCTCATTGGCGGCTCTTGAAACCCCCACCACCCAGAGCCTCGCCCCAAGGCTCGCCGCCAACAACATCTCAGCAACAAAAACAATCAACCTACAAACCTACCCACCAAACATTCCTTACCCAACCCTCCAACCCATCCCTACAGCACGATACAACCAACAAACACGGCCAAAAATGCCAGAACGCCGTCAAGCAACCTCCAGCAGCTCGACCCACCGCAGCACCGGCGTCCGCCGCAACCTTTTTCAGCAACACCTCACCCGCCGCCCTACAACCAGCTCGACATCCACATCCGCAGAGACTCTCCGCCTAGACGTCGACCACGAATCAGACTCCTCGGACATCGTCATCAGGGATAAGAATGGCGAGTTTGAAATAGAGGATCTGCCGATCCAGCCATTCGATGAGCAGGATGAGGGGGGGCATGGAGAGGCAATGGAGGATGAGAGTAAGTGAACTATATACATATACTGGTGTACTGTGGGAGGATATTGTGCTGATAAAGGTGTGCTTGTGGTAGAGGAACGGCAGAGATTGGCTGATGCTGTGAGGCATCATCAGAGAGATAGGAATCGTGCTCCTAGTGAGCCCGCTGGTTGGTTCACTACTCCTCAAGATGGATGGATGATACAATGCTGATTATACTAGAACTACTGGAAGCCGTCAGAGCGAGTCTCCGAGCCAAAGTCCATGCTTTGGCAGAGGACAATTGGATGTATGAGGCAGAAGAGAATACTACTGTCCGGTGATACACTACAACGAATGGTCTCCTTGGTTTAGTATTGCATAGCATGGCATGGAAAAGGCGTTAGATACCCAAGCGTTGCGGCAGGCAGGCAGGGAAGCAGGTAGGCACCGGATACTTGCTTCAGGCGCAGAAGCATGTTGTCTTGTTTAAACAAATTTGAATTCGTTCCTTTGATTCCGTTCAGTCTAGACCCTCAGCAGCAGGTGCAGAAGTTCCTCCCACACGCTTTGGCTGTGGCTTCGCAGGAGCAGCAGCACCCCCGCCTCCAAACATACTTCCCATCATATCCAACAGTGGATTCCCCTGTCTAGGTCTCGAGATCCCAAAGTACATCTCCGCCACCGAAGTCAGCGCCTCATCCCAAATCCCCGCCTCCTTAATATGCACCGCATACTTCGACTTCAGCTGCGTGAACAAGCCCGCACTTCCCTTCTGCACAGCCAGCAACAACAAGCCCAAGAAATTCAGCAGCGGCAGGCTAGGATAGATCCGCATGTCCGAAGCATTGCTACTGACATCCTGCACTGCGAGACCCTTATTCGCTTCCGTCAACCTGCTCGTGAACAGCCGTAGAGACTTCGTTGCATCGCGCACGTTGCCTATGAGGAGGTATGGGAACACCACACGCGCTGCGTATAGAGCCGCTGTGTGCGAATCGTCCTGCGTGTACCACTCATACTCCATCTTCGCGAAGACTTCTGGTGAGTCCTTGGTGCCGAGTGTGAGGTGTCGTTCGGCTTCGTAGGCCTCGCGTTCTTCTGCGTATAAAGTGCCTGCGACGTGATGGAGGTCAGGTTCGCCGGCTGGGTACTCGCCGCACTTTGCAGACCATCTGTTATATCCCAGATCCATCAGCGTTCCTCTCTCTTCTCTGTATGAAAGTAAATCCACTCACCCAATCATCTCCCCAATAAACTTCTTCCTCGTCGGCTCCTCCGCATCAAACAACCTCAATAGTGTCAATAGCTTTCCCTTACTCCCCGAATCCGGCTTTAGCTCCGCCTGCTTGTACACGTCGATGAGGAACAAGCTGAGATCTCCACCGCTGCCTCCCTGTCCGGCCTTCAGCAGCGACTGCGATACGTTGAAGAGGATGTCGATTGCGGCGTCCCAGCTCTCCGACTTGACGTACCGTGCTGCCACGACCCGTGTTTGCTGCTGCGCTTCATAGTATTGTCCTTCGGTGATCCTGCGGGGGGATTGTTAGCTCTGCTTGCTTGTTTGCTGAGAAAGGGGGAATGGATATGGAGAGAGGTACGTACTTTCCCTGCAGACGCACGATGATCTTCTCGATCTTGGCGCTCATCTTGAGTTGCTTCGCCTTGCGTGGGGTTGTTGAAGGGGCAGTCGTGTTGAAGTGGTGGAAAGTGACGTTTACGAGTGAAATCAGTGCTTCCCACTTTCGCGAGATTTCGACGAGGCTGAAGCTGGCCCCGCGGTCCTAAGACGGACAAAGGAAGCGTCACAAAGGATGTCCAGACAAAGACAGCATTCAACAAAACATTTTGTACAATAATATCTGTCTTCACCTTCATTCACTGAAACTTACAATAGTCCACAACCCCTCATAATCATTACTGCTGATAATCTATTGATATAAGCACACCTGCTCTAGGCGATTTTCCAAGCTCCGTTCGCTTATCTTCACTCCGCTGCGCATGCTAAAATCAAGCAGTAATTTTGTTACTTATATATAATAGAATAAGAAGTTTTTGCCACAAATACTTTGAATTGGTTATGCAAAGCACTCTTGGTTTAGTGGTAAAATCAGCGCTTCCCATTCCATGAACAGATGGTTCCTTAGAGGTCTGCGCTGGCCCCGGGTTCGATTCCCGGAGGGTGCAATAAGTTTTGCGTCCCGTTTGTCTTTTGACAGTGAGAAGTTATATGAGTTGCGGTGGCCCTATTTTTGAACTTCTCTTCTTTGATTTTCGGCCGATGCGGCTGATAGTGCGCATCATACGACGCTTAGTGTACCTAACCTTAGTTAGCCTTACTAAAACCACATACCTAGTCCTTATTTTGTTACGCAAATGCTTATAGAGTGAGATATACTAGAGGGACAAAGATTTTTTCTTTCTACTATTGCAATGTTATTTGGCATTCACGTTACTAATTCCAGGTGAAGGCTTCGTGGTGAATTGTGCGTTTAAAGTAGTAGGAGGTGGGATGTTTTGCTCCCCCTGCCTCCAAATATTTTTTCTGTGACGCGAACATCTCCATCAGGACATCACCAACTGCCATCGCAACGCAACGCTTTCTATGTTCTCGACACTTTCCCGCGGGAGCTCCAGGGTCAAACAGACATATATCTACTCATCATGCCGATGCAACATCCTCGCACACGCCAATCCCCAGCAGACACATCTGCCAGTTAATGGTGGTACGAGAGCAGCAGCAGCATCCAGCAGCTTTTCCACCTCCGCAACACAGCTGCAGAACAACAATGGCGAGCCCAAACCCTCCGAGCCAGCGACTGGGGATGATTCGAAGCCAGCCTCAGGAAAGACGCCTGGGAAGAGTGACAGACCAAAGAAGAGAGTTCTAGACCCGTTGATGCCTCTTTCGAGATCCATGCCTACGCTGAGAGCACTAAGGCAATCGCTGCTTTCTGAACCTGTACCACCACTGCGGCGGAAACCATCTGCGAGGTTGAAGCCACCTCCGAAAAGTAAAAGTGCGAGACCTTCCGCCAAAGAGGACAATGCACAACCGTCAGCAGAATCCTCGATTTCCACGCCAGAAATCGCCCCTCATCAGGAAGCTATAATTGAAGAGAAGAGTAAAGATGCGAGTGTTGCACCTGCTAAGAAGCGGCCCGGACGAAACGCAAGGCAAAAGTACAGGCTCAATTCGGTGGCCCAGAAGCAGAAACTGGTATCGAGTCAAGTTGAGGACTCTCAGGCTCCAGACGCAGCCCCCGAGGGCTCATCTGACAAGAAACCGGGGATGCCATCCAATACTAGGACAACGAAAGCGTCAAGCATCAAAAAGTCCCCTTCACCCAAGTCACTTTCGCGAAGTGTGCTGTCCAGGATAAACGCCGATACTGAAACAAGCACAGAAACAGGGCATAACAGATCCTGGACCGTAATCGCTGAGGATGGTCGCAAGTTTATCGTGCAGCTCGATGACTCTAGAAAGGCGAAAGACAGTCTCAAAAGTGCTCGTGGTAGGGAAAAGGTGATTGCAAAGGGGCCAAGTAGTTATAGCTTGAAGGCAAATATGAGGCCGAGTAACGCACCCACCTCCGATTCACCAGCGAAGTCGCAAGCAAGAATACAAGCCAAGGAGACAGCTGAGTTCCTTGCCGAGAACCCGACTATATGTGCAAAGCTCAAAGACATGTCACCCTCAGCCCCTTTGAAGTCTTGCGAGGCCGCCTTAAGGGGTTGCTAGATGGTGACCAGTTGTCAGAATCTGAAAGGTTGAATTCTCTACGCCAGCTGGTACTACTTGGGCTACAGGCTCGAACTACACCCAGGCCCAAGTCAATCACGAGCTCGAGACCACTTGTCAGGAAATTTGTGTCATCCTTTCCAGGTGATGCGAAAGATTCCGCACGGGGTGTCAACGAGGAAGGCTCTGGATCTCTTAAAACACGGCCAGGAACTACTGCCCACGAGATCAAATCTGTCGACGCAGACAGTCTAAAACTAGTTCCACTTGATACTGGACCGCTTCAGGTACCCAAGCTGTCATATGGTCTAGAGAGGGTGCTTTTCAACCCAGGTGTATACCAGCTCCAAGATCCTCGATCGAGAGTATTCAACTTCGATCCATATTTGCAGACAATCATGCCTGTCAGCGAATTTGACTTCAATGCACTGAAGCAGTACGTGACCTCATCTCGGGACAAGAACCTCATCGCAAAAGCCATCGCAGAGAAGAAGAAGTACACAGGGTCAACTTCCAGCACAACGTCCGCTCTTGCCCATTTCCATTTTCTTCTCTCCCAGTGGCGGGAAATAACGTTTAGCAACCTGTCAAAAATGTTTCCCGTTGAGTTCAAGAAATTCACTGCCTTACAGCGTGGCCCTGTTGCCATTTTCTTGCGCTGGAGGGATGGAGCATACGCAATTGACGCGGACAAACAATACGATACAGCAAACATCCTAATGAGTCTTGGAAAGTCCATGGAGAAACTCCTCACTCTCTCTACCGAAGATTTCGAGAAGTACAGAAAGACGAACTCGGACCAGATCACTGAAGAAGAACGCAATGCTTCCGAAGAGTTTCACTACACAGGGATGGGCGATTTTCTTCTGAGATCGCAGCTAGATGCTCATGATTCGCGACTGCCTGGGACTGGAATGTTTGATCTCAAGACCAGGGCTGTAATTTCGGTTCGGATGGATACTGAGAGTTACGAGGAGGGCAGAGGCTATGAGATTCGAGGCCAACATGGCGAATGGGAATCTTTCGAAAGGGAATACTACGATATGATTCGCTCTGCTTTCTTGAAGTACTCTCTGCAGGTCAGAATGGGCCGTATGGATGGAATTTTTGTTGCTTACCATAACACCGAGAGGATCTTTGGCTTCCAATACATCAGTCTCCCAGAAATGGACTTTGCGCTGCACGGAACTACCGATACCACACTTGGGGACCAGGAGTTCAAGTTGAGTTTGGATTTGCTCAATCGCGTTCTGGATCGTGCCACGGCTAAGTATCCAAAACAATCGATGCGATTACTCATTGAGACCAGACCTGCGGAAACCCCCTTCACGTACATATTCGCCGAACCTTTTACAGAGGATGCCATTGAGAAGATTCAGAAGACGAACAAGGCCAAAATCGAGAAATTTGAGAAGGCAGTTCTGGGCGTTGTCAACAAGGAATACAGTGACGAGGATCAACAAAAAGAATGGGACAAAATCAGAGCCGAGGTGGAAGAAAGTGTCGGGGAGGATGAGGCTGGCCGGGAGGCTATTGCAGGGGATGATGACTTGGACTCTGACCTGGCCAATGGAAATGAAGACGGGGACCTAGAAACGGAAGATACAACAGACTCAGATGAACTACCAGAAGACGAGCGGGAGCTGGCCGACATGATCTCGACAACTCGCATGATGGACGACCAGGAGGGGATCGTCAATGAGGACGCCGAGGAAGATGCTGATGAAACTGACTTGGAGGAGTCTACTACTAATGAAAGCCAAGATGCAGAATCGACTGGCGCCGAAGAATCTTTGCTTGAAGCAGATGAGAACCAGCCAGCTGGACCTGACGAGGGCGTTGAAGCTGACTTGGAGAACTCGGATGAAGTCTCCGAAATCGAGCAGTCTCCGGAGTCTTCCGAAGCCAGCCAGGCAGATGAGAATGGCTCCGAGGACACTCTTAACATCAACCGAGTCCAATCTGGCCCACCCGGGCCACCAAAGCCCAGGGACATGATGGCCATGACCCTCACTATCCGCAACAAAGTCAACGGCCGATACGTCACGCGTCCCAACGATCTCAGAGAAGAAGATAAGTGGAAGGTCGAGTACTCTCTCTCCGAGATCCAGGACCCCAACCGCGTCGCCAGGCTCTATGATATGGCCAAGTCGCGCCGCGATCAGGCGATGAACAAACAGGTGGATCTGTCCAAGGATACTTTCAATGGCTACTTCTTGCAGAAAATCAAGGATATTACAAGGAAGGGTAGGGAATGGAGGAGGCAGCGCAATGAGGAGGATAAAACTAGGCCGACCAAGGTGTTGGATGTTAATGATGGGAAGAAGATGGCGAAGAAGGATTATGAATTGTGGACCCAGGAGAAGAGCAAGGGAGATGGCCAGAGTAAGAATTAGAGATGGGATATGTATACTATAGGGTCAGAAAAGAGGTACCACTGTAAGCATCTGTAACGGGAAATGGGGAGTTGTAATAGATAGAGTTTGTAACAAAAATGTACAACAAATCATCTCTCTACCCTCTTCCTTTAAGCGAGCGCCGGATGAGTAACTGTGTATGTCTACCTTCCTCACATATTATTTATTATATGCGTTTACTTTCTAACGAACTAAAACAATCTGCCAAATCCTAAACCTTTAGGAAATAACTTGAGGGTAGGGTTGAGTTTTAGAAATGAAAATCTGACATCTTTTTCTAACCGTAGTTGCAAGGTTGACGGACCATTCTCGGCTCGCATGTCGCCTGAGTTCTCAGCTCAGCAAGGTTAGAATAAAATAGTGAAAGTTAATAGTAACAAAGATTTTGGCAACAAGGCTTCGGTCAAGTGCCGATCTTTAAGGGTCAAAGGTTTTTTGATTCAGAAACTTTCCTCTCTGTTCGGGCTCCTTGAATAAAATCAATACCCTCAGTACTATATCTATATGCATTGCTACCTTATAAGTTCAGTGGCTACTCATGAGCACCATGGAATAGTTTGTAGTTGATATGGGCGTTACCATTCTCTGTATCTGTTTGAGCTACTGTATTTATACCTCCATCCAAAAAGCGGGGGCCTCAAACATTGAGGGAAGGAGACAGAAACATTGAATGAATCATAAATATTGAATGAATCATAAATATTGAGTGAATCAGAATCCGCCTGGAATGAAGATTACAAAAGGCAGGGGTTTATATTTGGCATATTTCCAGTGAACCTTTAAAGCATTTTGAGGAAGCGATACAAATTTGGCAAGTATGACGCGCCGGCAATCACACCTTTGGGGCTCCCATTGAGCACAGCCTATCATATATGAAGTAGAGCCTCAAAACGGTCTCCAAGAATGGGCGTGTAGTTAAACAGCGAAAGCCATGCATATACGGATAAAAATTTAAAGTCTCAAAACCGACTTATTTGATGTACATAAAGGAGTCTTAGCTGCCGCTTTTCTGTCAAAGGAAGTCTTTG